CTGGGAAACAGAGAAACACACAGTTATTCACAACAGCCAAGTCCATCCGCTTTATTTCTACAATACAGACTGTTTCAAAGCAGCTTCAGTTTAATAAACGGGAAAATGACAGTGCAAACGTGGGGAAGTTCATCAATATCACTGCAATCATAGAGTCAGAACGCAGGACGGGTCACCAGTTCGGATTCAAACAACAAAAAATTGGAAAACAAGGCCAGGAATTTCACATCCGTGAGTTTCAACAATGCCTCAGATTTGCATACGCCTGAGAACTCAACATGAACTCTATGTGCACTGAAACAATTTGAGTAGAAACTATTTTTGGTAACACTTTACTTGAAGCCTTTACAATGCATTTTAAAAGCACTTTTATGATTTATAATACACTGTATGGATGATTGAAACCACAGTTATAATACATTATCATACTCATATGTTACGCCGACAAACAACTGATTTCAGATGTAACAACGACTCTGCAAACAGTATAATTGATTTTAATAATTTATGAAAAGACATAATGCATTATTTCGTATAAATATGAATACGTTTATGATGCATTATACTGTACATCAAGTATTAAAAGTACATTTCACAAACAATTACAGAGAAACGGCAAGCAACACATTAAATTAAACATGCAATTTTGAAGTAGAAAAACATAGTATTTTCTAACTTTAATAATCTTTGTTTTATTTACAACTTTGAAAAATCATTGTAAACAGTGTGATCTGAGCTGCTCTATATTCATTTTACAGCTCTCTTTACTAGTGATTCATTTCTGCTATTTCTGAACTACAGTATTCAAACATCTTCATATTTAAATGTCTCCTGCGCTGAGAACCAACCATTTTCTCCAATCTTTTGCATAAACAAACTGTGAATAAACCAACTTTATTCCTTCAGATTTTGCTTTACATTTGATATTCAGATCTTCAGTCTGAACATGTCAGGAAAACCTTCTTCCTCAGTGTTTTTCTCTTGTTCTCCACCACAAATTTCCAAACATTTCTTAAATCAAAATGCATTAACTTGAAGTTGAGTTTTGGATTTTTTCTGACCCCATTGGCAGATATTTGTTCTTGTGTTGAGCACTTTTGGCACTTCAGTGGAGTCCGTCTTTCTCCTTAATATATATATATATATACAGTTCTAACTGTTAAAGGATTAGTTCACTTTTAAAAAAACTTTTGCTGATAATTTACTCACCCCCATGCCATCCAAGATGTCCATGTCTTTCTTTCTTCAGTCGAAAAGAAATTAATGTTTTTGATGAAAACATTCCAGGATTTTTCTCCATATAATGGACTTCAATGGTAGCCAAACGGTTCAAGGTCTAAATGACCGTTTCAGTTCAGCTTCAAAGGGCTTTAAACGATACCAGACGATGAATAAGGGTCTTATCTAGAGAAACGATCTGTCATTTCAAAAATAAATAAAAAAGTTAAAGTGTTATAGGCACAAATGCTCGCCTTGCGAACTCTCCTGTTCGAACTCGTTCATCAAAATGAACAAATCTTTTTTCGAGTCAATGACTCGTTCATCAAAATGAACGAATCTTTTTTCGAGTCATTGACTCGTTCATCAAAATGAACGAATCTTTTTTCGAGTCATTGACTCGAAAAAAGATTTGTTCATTTTGATGAACGAGTTCGAACAGGAGAGTTCGCAAGGCGAGCATTTGTGCCTATAACACTTTAACTTTTTTATTTATTTTTGAAATGACAGATCGTTTCTCTAGATAAGACCCTTATTCATCGTCTGGTATCGTTTAAAGCCCTTTGAAGCTGAACTGAAACGGTCATTTAGACCTTGAACCGTTTGGCTACCATTGAAGTCCATTATATGGAGAAAAATCCTGGAATGTTTTCATCAAAAACATTAATTTCTTTTCGACTGAAGAAAGAAAGACATGGACATCTTGGATGACATGGGGGTGAGTAAATTATCAGCAAAAGTTTTTTTAAAAGTGAACTAATCCTTTAATAGGCTTTATGCCAAGCGTCACGTGACCAAACCGGAAAACGGGTCAGAGAAAGTGTTAACGGCCGTAAGAACTAACTACGATATATCTATGGATTTTTAAGGTAATCAGCTAACCTACTAAGTTCACTTTGTTATTGCTGTTTTATGCTATTTAAATATCTAAACGTTAGTGTGAAGAAGAACAATTAAAAAACTTTTAAATATCAATCTGCACATGCGAAGGACATTGGTTATGCTCATTTTTGCTTGCTCCTTTTAAGTTATCTTGAGTAAAACCGCAAAAAATTTCATGAAGCACATACAAAAGACCTGAATCGGAAGCGATGTGATCTGTTTTCCGGCTTGGTCACGTGACGCTCGGAATAAAGCCTATAGTGCTGCTTATACTTAAATGTATGGGCGTCGGAAGCAAAAAAAATGTGGGTGGGTCATCCTCCAGATTTATTACTGGAGTAGATTAGGGGTGTTCCCGAAGCCAAATACCTTATCTAAAATATCTATGCAATAATGAGTGAAGTGAATGAGTGAGAGTAAAAATTAAACGAGCGCAAATCCGTCTATGCGTGCATCTCTCAGAAACCACAGCTTGGCAAGAGTAATATCAACTCAAATAGGATATTGTATATTATTGTATGTATTTTTAAATGATTTAAGCATTGTTCAATATACAGGCTATTCGAATGAATTGAATAAGCACAGCACGACCACAAATCAAACAGCGCGTTAATTCCCGTCTCTGCGCGTCTCCGTCTCAGCAACCAGTTCCAATAGCCTATAACCAACTAAGATTCATATACATTAATTACTACATGATGTGTCTATTTAAATGTTTTAAACTTCGTATGATGTCCCATAGGAACCTGAGACTCGCGCTTAGGACACATGAAACTCCGTTACGGACGTGACCGCTCTGGGAAAGCGGCACTAAAAGATGCTTTAAAACTTTCACAGAGACCTCAAACAGAAAGCACAAAGCCTTTCTTTAAAGTGAATTTCGTTTTGTATTAATTGTATCTTAATTTTAATCAAAGTTTCATCAACCAATTGCCTGGATTTAATAAATAAGAAGTAAATATAGCAGACAATAATCAAGACACGGAGGCGCCGGCGCGTGAACTGGAGCTCGTCTCATAAATTAACCGAAACGAAGGTAGCCTACTTGCCTCACAGACCTGAAAAAAAAAATATATATAAAGCTTTTAAACAGAACAATTCAAAACGAAAGAAAACAGACTGCTCTGCTTATCCGTATGAAATGTGCATTTCTCTCTGGCGCGTTCACTACTGCAAAGATCGCAGTCAGCATCGTCATCTTCATTTTTGCAGCCGACACACACAAAAACACTTGTTTATTAATAAACAATTAAAATGTCTCCTTGCTATATTTGACATATTCATAATCATTACTTTTGCTGGTTCTTTGTGACAGCTTTTAGGTGCTTTATTGGCAGCGCCACCCTTACATGTTACATGAACGTGTCACGCCGCGTCACCACACCCGCAAAAGCATCGAGGTTTGTATCGAATTGTGCGTCAAAAATCGTGATACGAACCGAATCATTGGTTTGGTGTTTCGTTACACAGACCTATCAAATATAGTAACGCATTATTTTGGCAGTAACGGCGTTATTAAGATGGGAATAGTAATCAATTAGATCACTGCAAGTGACTGAAAAGTGAGCAGAAATATGCGCTGAATTAGAGACAGTAAAGGTGAGTGGGTCCAATATCATTGGTCTTAAAAAATTGGTGGGTCTTGTCTTGTTTTGTGTTAAAACATATAAAGGAGAATATATATTAAATGTGATATGGTCTTTTCTTATAGGGTTTTAGTATTTTAACCATCCTATCATGGCATGAATTTTCTAATATTCAAAATTAGAGACTCCTCACTGTCCAACACAATATTCACCAACTCCTATATTAACAAAACTATAACTATAAATATATAATAACCAGCAATTGCAAGATAAAACCACTTCTTTAATGAACCCTTGTGTGACTTTGCTTAACTTTGCTGACTGGCATTGTGCTCCTCCAGTAACTGTATCTTGGGTTAGGAGTGTTTGGTGTGTGCTGGAAGACGAGGAAGAGGATTATTTGCAGATGATTAATGGAGACCGGATCCGCCTATAGATGGCAGTGCGAGCTCCGAGAACATCTTTAACACTTCGAGCGCTGATGATGGAGGAGGAGGAGAAGTGTTTTACTGTTGGCCTGCTGTAGTTCTGGCCTCGTGTCCTCAGACTCTGATGACCGTGAGCTCGTCTAATGTCGAACTCTGATTAATGACCAACATCAGCCCTGAACTCCACAGTTATAGAGACACGACTGCAGGAGGACTGAGTGTGAGGACTGACACCTGAGGTGGAGAGGAAATGCCACCGCAGCCATAAGAGGCAAGTGTGTGTGTGTGCGTGTGTGTGTGTGTGTGTGTGTGTGTGCTCATTTTGCATTTTAAAGCAATAGTTCACCTGCAAGGTTAATTCATAATTCAATTAATAATTTATTCACTCTGAGGTTGTTCTAAACCTGTATGACTTCTTCTGTTGAGCACAAGCGGATGGTAAACTTGTGTGTGTGTGTGTGTGTGTGCGTGTGAGAGAGTGTGTTGGTGTGTGTGTGACTTCTTCTGTTGAGTACAAGCGGATGGTAAACTTGTGTGTGTGTGTGTGTGTGTGTGTGTGTGTGTGTGTGTGTGTGTGTGTGTGTGTGTGTGTGTGTGTGTGTGTGTGTGTGTGTGTGTGTGTGTGTGTGTGAGAGAGTGTGTTGGTGTGTGTGTGACGACTTCTGTTGAGCACAAGCGGATGGTAAACTTGTGTGTGTGAGTGTGTGTGAGTGTGTGTGTGTGTGTGTGTGTGTGTGTGAGTGTGTGTGTTCATTTAGCATTTTAAAGCAATAGTCCACCTGCAATTAATATTCTGTCAATTTATTCACTCTGAGGTTGTTCTAAACCTGTATGACTTCTGTTGAGCACAAACGGATGGTAAACTTGTGTGTGTGTGTGTGTGTGT